GTGTGCTGTTAGATTTTGTATTTGGGATTTTTCTTGTTTCTTGAGATAGGCCTGGATTGCAATGTATTTTCCTCTCAGGACTGCCTTTGCTGCATCCCAAAGTGTTTGGATTGTTGTGTTTTCATTTTCATTTGTTTCCATGTATTTTTAAATTTCTTCTCTAATTGCCTGGTTGACCCATTGATTCTTTAGTAGGGTGTTCTTTAACTTCCATGCTTTTGGAGGTTTTCCAGACTTTTTCTTGTGGCCGATTTCAAGTTTCATAGCTTTTTTCAAGCCCAGCGATTAATTTTATGAGTATTATTCTAAATTCTTGTTCCATTATATTGGTTAAATCAGTTTTGATCAATTCATTAGCTGTTGCTGCTTCCTGGAGTTTCTTTTGAGGAGAATTCTTCTGTTTTGTCATTTTGGCTAGTTTTCTGTCCCTTATGCATTTTAAAAGCTTGTGTGCTCTGCACCTGCAAGCACTGCTATATTAAAGGAGGATCATATGCTGTCCAGGGCCTGGCCCTTCAGGAGGTGTTTTTTCAAGGATTGTTATGTGCTCTCTGTTGTTGTGACTTTGGTTATTTTATTACCCTACTCGTAGTAATATTTTGTACCCTGCACCAGGTGTGCTTTGATTTGTTCTTTGGAGTAGCCCTTGTAAACAAAAACAGATGGACAAACAGGAGACAAAATATTAATTGATTTTCAAATATTGAGCCAGCCTTGCATATGTGGATACATTTCAGTTGGTTGTGGCATATAAGTGTATATGATGTATATAAAAGTATATAAAATATACACTGTTGGATTCTATTTTCTAATACTGTATTTTTTGAGGATTTTTGCATCCATGTTCTTGAGAATACTAATTTGTAGTTTTCTTTTCTTGTAATATCTGTCTGCTTTTGGTATTAGGGTTTCACTGGTCTCATAGCATGAATTAGGAAGTCTTCCTTCCACTTTTTTCTTCTGGAAGAGTCTGTAAAGAATAGGCATAGTTTCTTCCTTAAATGGTTGGTGGAATTCACCAGTGAACCCATCTAGGCTTGGAGCTTTCTGTTTAGGAAGGTTAGTAATTTTGATTCATTCTTTAGTACAGATAGGCCTATTCAGATTGTCTTTTTCTTATGTGAATTTTGGAAGATTTAGTCTTTCAAAGGAATTGATCCGTTTCATCTCTCTTATCAAATTTGTGGGCATAGAGCTATACATAGTATTACTTTATTAGCCTTTTAATGTCCATATGATCTGTAGTGATGTTCCCTTTCTTGTTTCTGGTATTAATAATTTGTGTTTTTCCTCTTTTGTTCTTAGTCTGGACAGAGGCTTATTGATTTTATTGATCTTTTCAGAGAACCAGCTTTGTTTCATTGACTTTCTCCGTCAATTCTGTTTTTGATTTCCTTGATCTCTATTCTAATTATTTTTTTCTTTTTATTTGAGATTTAATTTGCTATCCATTTTCTAAATTCCCAAGATTGAAGCTTTTATTACTGAGTTTGGATCTTTCCTTTGTAATATATGCATTCAGTGTATTAAATTTTCCTCTTTGAAGTGCTTTTGTTGTATCCCACAAATTTTGATGTTGTATTTTCATTTTCATTTAGTTAAAAATACTTTAAAGTTTCTCTTGAGATTTCTTCTTTGGCCATGTAATTAGAAGTATGCTGCTTACTCTCTTAAGTATTTTGGGATTTTCCAGCTGTCTTTATGGTACTGATTTCTAGTTTAATTCTTATGGTCTGAGAGCAGATATTGTATGATTTCTATTCTTTTAAATTTTGGTGTGTGTGTGTGTGTGTGTGTGTGTGTGTATGTGTTGTGTCCAGAATGTGATCTCTCTTGGTGAATGTTCCATATGAGCTTGAGAAGAATGTGTATTCAGCTCTTGTTGGATGAGGTAGTCTGTAGATGTCAGTTACATCCAGTTGATGGATGGTATTCTTGAGTTCTCCTGTGTCCTTACTGATTCTATGCCTAATGGATCTTTCTGTGTCTGATAGGGAGTGTTAAAGTCTCCAACTGTAATAGTGGATTTGTCTATTTCTCCGTTCTATTCTATTAGATTTACTTCACATAATTTGACTCTGTCTTATAAGGCAAATACACATTAAGGATTGTTGTATCTTCCCGGAGGATTGACTCCTTTATGTAATGCCCTCTTATTCCTGATAATTTCCTTGTTTTGACGTCTACTCTGTCTGAAATTCATATAGGTACTCCAGCTTTGTTTTGATTAGTGTTAACATAGAATATTTTTTCTCCATCCCTTTACTTTTAATCTGTATGTGTCTTTATACTTAAGTGAATTTCCTGTGGACAATGTATAGTTGGGTTTTGTTTTTGCATCCACTCTGATAATCTCTGTCTTTTAATTGGTGTACTTACTCCATTGACACTGAGAATTATTATTGATATAATTTATTTATTTTTTAATGTTTATATATTTTTGAGAGAGAGCGCAAGCGAGGAGGGGCAGAAGGAGAGGGAGACAGAATCTGAAGCAGGCTCTAGGCTCTGAGCTGTCAGCACAAAGCCCAATGCAGGGCTCAAACCCATGAACCATGAGATGATGACCTAAGCTGAAGTTGGACACTTAATCAACTGAGCCACCCAGGCGACCCTAATATAATTGATTTAATAGTTACCTTATTTGTTAATGTTTTCTGTTTGTTGCCTTGTTCTTTGTTCTGATTTTTCTCTTTGGCCATCATTTCTTCAGATAAATATTTTTTTCTATCATTCTCCCCCTTCTGAGAATCCAATTACATTTACGTTAAACTGATAAATAGTATCCCAGGTCATTGATGCCTTTTCAGTTACCTGTAGTCTTTTTCCTCTCTATGCTTCAGTTTTGGATGGTTTCTATTTCTGTGTATTCTAGGTCACTGATTTTTTTTTTTTTTTTGCAGGGCCAGAAGTGCTATTAATCTAATTCAGTGTGTGTGTGTGTGTGTTTTTTTAATTCCAAAGACTACATTTTTCATCTTTATAGCTTCATTTCATTTATTTATATATATGAAAGATACATATGTGAAAGAAAAGAAAGCTATGTGTATTTCTTATATATACCTATATAATATATACCTGTATATGCCTATATATCTTATATGTACCTATGTGTCATGTATGTCTTTCATTTCTCCTCTCCTACTTTTTTGTTTTTATAGGGTTTTACTTTTAAGTCATCTCTACACCCAACGTGGGGCTCGGACTTACAACCCTGAGATTGAGAATCGCATGCTCTGCCAACTAAGCTAGCCAGGCACCCCTCTTCTGTTACTTTTTGAATGGATGCCGGATACTGTGAATTTTGTTTGGTGTCTGATTTTGTTAAATTCTTTTCAATAGCGTTGGACTTTGCTCTAGTGACTAGTTAAATTATTTGGAATAACTTGAATCATTTGGAGGCTTGCTTTTAAGCTGTCAAGTGGATCTTTGACACAGAACTAATATAGCCCTACTACTAAGGTGATGCTTTTCCAAGGACTCTATCCATTCTCTCATGTAGCAGGAGCCATTCTAGCTGCTGAGAACACAAAACCTCCCCAGCCCTGTGTGAGCTCTGACATTTGTTCAGCCTATTGTTTGCTGGTGCTTCTTCTTCTGTCCTTGGGAAGTTTTCATTCACACACGCCCTTGTCAGTGTTCAGCCAGAGACTTGAAGGAACCCTTCGGCCGATGTCCGCTTGTTTTCTGTCCATGCAGGTTCTTCTATTCCAGTGTTCTGTTGTACATATCCTCGTTGCCTTGGGCTTCCTAAGCTCCAGTTTCTGTCCTCGCAACTCAGCAAGAAGGAAAACTGAAAACTCTGGGTTCTGTCTGCCACCCCACTCTCTATTCTGGTTTTGAAACTGTTCCAGGTAGTAAGCTAGGGCAATTTTAGGGCTCACCTATTTTATTTTTCTATCCCGGGGATTATATCTTTCTCTGTTTTCCAGTGTCAGAAACCTTTGTTTCCTAGTTTTGGTCCCTTTAATAGTTGCTTCAGGTAGGAAGGCAGACCTTCTCACTGTTCTTCCAGAATGTTCAGAAGCAGGAGCCCTTCAGTTGACATTTCACATTTCCGTTATTTTGTTTAGAAGTTAATTTTCCTGACACGTAAGGGGTGTGGTGGTCTTTGTCTTTTAGTATAAATCATTGTGGGTCTTGGTATCTTGGTAAGAAGCCTCTGTTGCCTATCTGGGAAATCATACACTGCTGGGGAATAGTACTGTTCAGTTCTCTTCTTTGTAATAGAGGGAGTGATGTCCTAAGCAGAGGTGATAGAGATTTTTTGCCTGACTTGTGGCATCATTTCTTAGAATATGCAGCAACTTGGCCATTGGTTTTCTTCCACTGCATGTGGTTTTAAGCTTATTTTTCAACTGATGAATTCACCACCTACTCCATTCTTGGGTTGTGAATCCATAGGCTTGAATTCTGTTCTGAGTGCCAAAACTTTGCAACTGCTGAGTTGGTTGGTTTTTTGCCTGGAAAATTGTTAGGGCAAAATTGATATTTTGATTGGGGAGAGAAAGAGGCAGATTTTCAGATGAAAGCTGTTCCACCCCAAATAATGTAAAAAAAAAAAAAATTGGCTTATTATCTAAAGGCATGGATAGAATTTGATGTATCATGAGAAAGTTCATAAATAGTAAACTTAGTGGTGGGAGGGCATCATAAGACCACACATAAATAGGGTAGCCATATGTATTTGCTAAAGACCGTCCTGGTTTATACTTGTTGTCCTCGAATAATTAACATCCCCTTTTACTCTTGGGCATGTCATGGTTTTGATGTCTATCCGTAATACTTACGCACATACAAAGTCATCCCAGTTATAGCTAATGGTTTAAAGAATTCAAAGTAGGTGTTAATTCCTTGGCTGTTGTTGTTGTTGAATAACGGATTTACTGCTTATGTTGTATTTTTGTTGAATGGTTTATTATAGTGACTAATAAATGTGTGTGTACGTGTGCGTGTGTGTGTGGTTTTATTTTTTTTAATTTTTGGTATTTTTCCTACAGATGATCTCAATGCCACCCACCAACACTGCGTTTTGGCTGGTTTACCACCTCGATTTAGTTCCACCCACCGAGTGGCAGAGGTAAGTGTAAATAAAAATGTGTTTCAAACTTAATTGGATGTGACAGTAGTGGTTGGAATGAGCAATTTCACATAGAGTTTTGGAAGAGTATTTGATAGGAAAATTGCTTCCATCGAACTTGACTCGAGCCTTTATTTACTTGCTTTTTCAGCTTTGGGTTATGTTGGATACAGTTTTTTAAAAAAGTGTACTCACAGCACGGGATAAGTGTATTTTGCTTCTTTGGGGTTATGTTTCTTGGAGAAGGTAAACCATCATCGGCAGGTGTTCCTAGTTAGAGATTTTCTAAGGGGTTTGTATCTGTCAAGGTCAAGGACAGGAGATGGCCAGCAGGAAATGGGGTGGATTTGTGTGCTTGTGCATGTGTTAGCTGTGACTGGCTCTGAAGGTTGGGAATTTACATTTCCCTTAACTTTTTGGTCAGGCTTCTGGGCATGTGAATATAAATTAAGGAGAAAGTTACAGTGTGCCAAGGAATTTCTGAGCTCCCCAGTTGTGTTCCTAACCCAGACTTTATTGCTCAATTCTGCCACCACTTGCAGTGGCTGATGGTCAGCTGATTAGACCAGTTCAGAATGGTAACCTAAGAGGTGAGGAAAAACTCTGAATAGTCACCCTGGGGTACTAAGTGATCAGTTAAGAAGGGTTCCATAGAGCAGGAGAATAATCATGAGAAGGACGACAAGTTGACCTTGTATCCAAACTTGTTATCTATGCTTTTGCTTTGTAGGTTGACTTTTCATCATACCACAGGGGGATCAGGGTGCGAAGTTGGGCAGAAGGGATACAACAAAGTAGCAGGGAAACACAAGCACAAGACCTTTTCAGTCCTGAGACTGAGTCTGCAAGGCAGTGGCACGTCTTTTGTTAAGTCCATAGCTTTTCTCGTGAACTGGTCACGTTGCTATGGGACAGAGCGGGCACGAGTGTCTACTCAGTCAAGATGCCAGCCAGCTCATCAGACATTCTTTCCTGCCTTCCTCATGTCCCTTTCTCCTCTCTTCTATTCACTCATCTAAATATTTGAGTGCCAAGGGGCACCTGAGTTGAGCCTCTGACTTCGGCTCAGGTCATGGTCTCGCAGCTCGTGAGTTCGAGCCCCGCGTCGGGCTCTGTGCTGACAGCTCGGAGCCTGGAGCCTGTTTCAGATTCTGTGTCTTCCCCTCTCTCTGCCCCTCCCCCGCTCATGCTCTGTCTCCCTCTGTCTCAAAAATAAATAAACATTAAAAAATAGGGGCGCCTGGGTGGCGCAGTCGGTTAAGCGTCCGACTTCAGCCAGGTCACGATCTCGCGGTCTGTGAGTTCGAGCCCCGTGTCAGGCTCTGGGCTGATGGTTCGGAGCCTGGAGCCTGTGTCCGATTCTGTGTCTCCCTCTCTCTCTGCCCCTCCCCCGTTCATGCTCTGTCTCTCTCTGTCCCAAAAATAAATAAAAACGTTGAAAAAAAAAATTAAAACATTAAAAAATAAACATTAAAAACATACATACACACGTATGTACATACTTGGGTGCCTGTTGTGCATTCAGCAGCATTCCAGGCTTGAGAGATGGAATCATCAGCATGACAACCCTGGCCACTACCTTTGTTGAACTTGCATGTGAGTCGGGGAGACAGATACCAAACAAAAAGACACACAGGTGCTTATGTTAGAGACCTAAAAGTAAGTTCTCTCAGGAAGTTGCGACGGCAGGACTGTCTGAGTGGAGGCAGGAACATAAGAATGAATGCGAGAATGAACGAATTAACTCTTTATTCGATGCTTTCCCTGTGCCAGGCTCTTGGCCAACTCTCAAGCCTGGGTGATTTAGGGATGCCATTACCATTAGTAGAAATGGCAGTTGAAGACATTAGGGGAAGACGATAGTGCATTCGGTTTTGAACAGGCTGGGTTGGAGCTGCCCCGTGGAGCGGTCCAGCAGGCAAATGCAAATAAGGGACTAAAACTCTCCTCCTCCACCTCCTGCCATAAAAAAAGTCCGTACCTACACAGACCTCCAAAAGGGGCCTGCCAGAGTACGGTTTGAACAGTCCCCCTGTAGCCTTATTTCCTTTTTTTCCAGGCAGACCAATTTTATTAGAGTAGCAGTGCTTTCAGAATATCCCGAGGTTTAGCATTTTCTGCTTAGTCACAGCTGTATTTGTATCTTCTCATTTTTAGGCAACATCGCGAGCGTTAATTAACTTTTAAATAGGGAGGTGGGGATATATGGTAATGCTATTGGGAGAAAACCAGTATCTCAGATCTAGGCCTTTTATAATCTCTGCACTTCAGTTCAAGCCACAAGATATATTTTTTTACTAATTAGACACATCCGATGTGAACGATGTGACTATCTTGCTTTCTGAAGTGTAGATCAGGTCAGCAAACCGTGGCCAATGGGCCGTAAGATCTTGGGGCAACTGCTCAGCTGTGCCATTGTAACTCCAGAGAAGCCAGAAACTATACGGAATCAAAGGAGTGTGGCTGTGTTTCAATTAACATTTTATTTATAAACTCATCATTTAAGGTGATTTTTTATTTCCGTGGAAAGTCAGAACTGCTGATGATCAGTGCTGGTAAAGTTACAGTGAAACATACATTCATATAGTTCTGGAAGTTTTTCTTTCTAATCGGCATACTTTTTGGTGAACTATGTGGGGATGTGTTCAACTACCATAAAAATACTCCTCTATTTTTGATCTCATAACACTATTTTTTTGGACTCAAACCTAGGAAACCATTCAAAAGAAGTATATATGTGTATGTATGTATGTATGTATGTATGTGTATGCGTATTTGTATGTATGTGTATATATTTATATGTGTATATATGTTTATATACATACAAAGATGTTTAGAGTGATTAAGAGTAGTGAAAAGTTGGGCAGAACTTCGGTGCCTTTGTAGCACATGACTCCTTAATTAAATTATCAGCTCAATGAGCAATCATTGAAAATGGTAGTTTTGAATACTTACAAACAGAGAAAAACAGCATATACACTGTTGTGTACTGACTGGTCACAACTGTGTGGACAAAGACTCACGTGCAATGAAAATAATAAAAATAGGGAAAGATGACAGGATCATGTTTTTATCTTACTTAGAAATTCTTATTTCATGATATATTATTGTTTTCAGTAATAAAAGAGGGAAAAAACTTTTTTTCTGACATGAAACTTACCTTGCTGTTTCCCTTGATAGAAGAGGGGAAAATCCATGCAGCATTATAGCCCTCACTCACTTTTACTTTATAAATGTCTTCTTTCTTGTTTCACCTGTGCCAAACAAAATGATTTGCAATTTTCTGCCTATTCAAAATATGTAGGAAACAGACTATCTTAAGGAGGCGATGTTCTGAAATTCGTTTTAGTTAATCAGAGAAGAAATCTATTTAGTTTTTTGGTTACATGTGACTAGATTATGTCTGATGGCTCTTGACCTTTATCTGATTTTAATTTTCTTCCGGTTGGAACAGAAGAACTCCATTCTCCTGGATATCTTTTTTTTTTTTTAAGTTTAAATTTTATATATCATTATATTTTGAATAGGTAGTTACTCAAATGGTTCAAAACCTAAAAAGGACCTAAGAATAAATAGTTTCAAGTCTCTCTCTTTCTCCTAAAGCCAACCAGCTCCTTCTCCCCAGAGGTACCCAGTGTTATCAATTCTTAGTTTTCTTTCTGTGCTGCCTAATACATATACAAGCAAATATGTGTTGATATTTTTTGTACAAATGGTAGCCTACTCTATATACTAGTCTGCACTTTGGTTTTAGTAAGCCTTGGTGATAACTGCTTATCAATATATAAGTCTCGGAGTAGACGATTTTTTTCCTAGATGACACCACAAGAACAAACAACCAAAGAAAAAATAGATATATTGGACCTCATCAAAGTTAAAAACTTTGATACTCCAAAAGGTTCCATCAAGAAAGTGGAAAGTGAAACTGCAGAATGTGAGAAAGTAGTTTCACATACTTGTCTCACAAGGTATTCGTGTCTAGAATATATGAATAACACTTACAACCATTAATTAAAGAGATACATAATCCAATATTTTTAAATGACAAAGGATGTGACTAGACATGTCTGCAAAGCAGGTCTACAAACGGCCAGTAAACACATGAAAAGATGTTGAACATCATTAGTCATCAGGAAGATGCAAATGAAAACCCCAGTGAGGTATCACTTCACACCCACTAGAATGACGATGATTAAAATCACAGTAACAAGTCCTGGGGAAGATGTGCAGACATGGGAACCCTCACGCGCTACCGGAGGGAATATAAAATGGTTCAGCCACTTTGGACAACACGGTGACGCTTCCTCAGGATTTTCAGTACCATATGACCCAGCAATTCCATACCCAAGAGAAATGAAAACTTCTACATGAATGTTCTTGGCAGCTTGATTCATAATAGCTGCTAAAAAAAAGGTTGGCAGAATGGGGAGGAGAAGACACAGAGTTTGTACAGGGGTGCAGAGTGTGTTTTGGGGAGATGACCAAAATATTCTAAAATTAGTTGTGAAAACAGTCACCTAGGGGAGGCTGGGTGGCTCTGTCGGTTACATGTCCGACTTCGGCTCAGGTCACCATCTCACAGTTCCTGAGTTCGAGCCCCGCGTCGGGCTCCGTGCTGACAGCCCGGAGCCTGGAGCCTGCTTGGGATTCTGTGTCTCCCTCTCTCTCTGCCCCTCCCCTGTGCACTCTGTCTCTCTCTCTCTCTGTCTCTCTTTCTCAAAATAAGTCAACGTTAAAAAAAAAATTAGAAACAAAACAAAACGGTTGCCTAACTGTGAATATACTAAAAACGATAAATTGTATGCTTTCAATGTGTGACTTCTATGACATGTGAATAATGTCTCAATAAAATTGTTCCCCCAACCTCTGCCAAAAAATAGGCCTCATTGTGGGCTCTTTACAACAGATAAAACTCTGTCCACCCAGGAAAAAAAAAAAGTCCCCCATGTGGCTCCACTATAGTTTATTTAACGGGTCCCCTTTTGATGGGAAATTCAGGTTGTTTCCAGTCTTTTGTCAGGATAAATGCTTTGTAACCTCTCATGTAGGTCACTTGATACTTGGGAAAGTAAAGGTGTGAATACAACATGTTTATAGACAGAATGTCTTTTAATAAGAGGTTGTAGGAGTGGCTCAGGGACAAAAGTGAGTGGTGACTCAGCGCCCCTGGGTAGCAAATTGGAGCTGCCTGCCGATGTGCTCCCGGCACTTTGAGGTCTTCATATTAAAATACATATTAGTCAGGCTTCTGTTTTTGTCACCGTAACTTTGTTTTTCCCAGGCTTATACGTGACACATTGCGTAACATGGCCGTAGCCGCCCAACTGATTTTTATACCAGGGCACTAGAAGGTTCTAAGACATCTGTTTGAGTTATACGTATTCAAATAAAAACACTTGCGTGATACCTTTTCCTCACCGGGTCTAAAGGACATTTGTAGCCCTTTATCATTCTAGGAAATCACGTTGCCACCGTCCGCATCCTCTTTTTTTCTGACATACGTCATTCAGAGGAGGAGTTTGTCCATTTGACCTCTGCTTTTCTCCCACAGACACAGAGAGGGACGAACTAGCTATCTGCCCCTGCCCACACCAAGCTGCCAAGTGAGGCCTTTGAACAAGCCTTGAGGGCATGAGCCACGTGTTCTCCATGATTAGAAGAACCTGTTCTACCAAGGACTTGCAGCCGTGAACTCTATGGTTTTTGCAGAAAAGGAACATGAGTCCTTTGCCCTGTGCTTATAACTTCACTTTTTTGTGTGTGCCATTACCATTCCATTTTGTGGACCGCTGAACTGATCAGGCCGGTTACTTTTCTTTCCCATTGTGAGGTCCAGGGCACTTACAGTGAAGTCAGTGTCTTTGACGTCTTGGTTAATTAGTGATTCGTCCAATAACTACTCACTAAGTTTCTTTTATATTTAGTACTTGGTTCTAGATGCTGCAATATGCGTAGAAAGAAATATATAATAAGGGGCTCCTGGGTGGCTGAGTCAGTTAAGCATTCGAACTTTAGCTCAGGTCATGATTTCGTGAGCTCAAGTGCTGACAGCTCAGAGCCTGGAGCCTGCTTCCAATTCTGTGTCTCCCTCTCTCCCTGCCCCTCCCCTGCTCGCGCTTTCTCTGTCTCTCTCTCAAAAATAAATAAACGTTAAAAAAATGAAAAAAAAAAAAGAAATATACAATAAAATTGTGTGTGTGTGTGTGTGTGTGTGTGTGTGTGTGTGTATACACACACATGGCTTTAGCCTCAGGGAGCCCACTGTTTTGAGATATAAGGCCCATATAATGAAAGAAAACCAGCCAGAAGAGTGACCCAAGTGAGGCCAAGCTGGCAACACAGAGCCCAGTGAGCCGGCCACTATAGTATTTCTTAAGTTGAATAGGGGCTGAGCTGTGGGGGCAACAGGTGAACATAATGGACAAGGGACAAATGTGGATACCCCTGGGACGAGTCGATGGTCAACTGGAATTTTGCTCCTCATCTTGATTGCTGGTTCTGTCTCTGCAGTGCTCCACCGGAACCTTGGATTATATCTTACAGCGCTGCCAGGTGGCTCTGCAGAATGTCCGTGACGGGGCAGACGGTGGTGATGCTTCTTTGAAATCCTTTGAGCCCGCGGTTCTGAAACAAGGAGAGGAAATCCACAATGAGGTGAGGACTTTCAGGAACCGGGAAGCTGCCTGCCAGCTAACAAGTTGATCTGCCGTAATTTCATATGGGTATAAGACCTGAAATTCTTCAGTGAGAGGTAAAGAATAGTTTATTACTTAACAACGATAGCAGCAGCCAGAGTATCAGCGGTTTTGTGCCACTTGTGCAAGCCTCTCTTTCCACGGGGCAGCACAGAGCAGGCCCGGTAACATAATGCACCTGCAAGGGTTCGGTTATAGGAGAAGAACAAAGGGAACCCGAATCTCTTATCATAGGCAGTAAGCATGGCTGACATTTGTTCCAAACAAGACACCGTCTTTATCCTCCAAGTCTGTTAGCATCCCTGCCCGTTGTTCTGGAGACGAGCTGTCTCTTCCAAGGCTGTTCTCTATACCAGCCATTCTTGCTGAGATAGAGGGAAGTCAGTATCTTGCTCACAAGGCGCACAGAAGCACAAGACCCATGAAGAATGGTCTTTCTGCAAGGACCAAAGGGAAGGGTGGGCGGACCCCAGGAGCAAGTGTCCGTACCTCGCTTTTTCTTTACAGAATGAGGTGTGGGTCTGCAGTCTGTGAGACCAGCAGCTCTGGATCCCACCAGCCAGTGTTTCACCAATTGTGCTGCTCTCAGGAACACCCTCTCAGCTTTTTGCTTTATCTTTGGACCGTGCGTATTGTTGTCTACTTAATACTTTTAAAAACTCGGCTCATTTTTATGTAAATAAATTTTCTTCGCAAATTTCTTTGCAAAGGAAGCTTTGTATTACCACTTTAAGAAGCGAGCCAGTATCACTAGCCAAAAGAAAAAGGAACCAGAGAGACCTCGCCAGTGTAAACAGAGCAGTGTTACTACCTTCCAGCAGATTCTCTCGCCGGGAGAAGGCTCTGAGCCTGAAGTCTCCATTATTCATGGGAAGCAGGGAGAGCAGCCTACAACTCCTGTGTTTTCTAACAGTCATTGAATTCGACGTTGAAAATGGATGAATTTTGTGGCGGGCAAATTAGATCTCAAAACAAAAAAAAAAACCTTAAAAGGAAAAAAGAGGGTCCCGAGTCATGGAGAATTGTTGAAGGTTATCACCAACCCGAGACTCTCTCTTTGTTCGGATTGGAAGGATCGGCGGAGAATTTGGAACACAAAAATGTTCTCTTTCGTCCTTCCAGCAAGTAATTACTACTGATTGCGTGCCTGGCACTCTTCTGTGTGCTTTAGGATGTAAAGTTTACGGTAGTTTACGAGAGTAAACTAGGCATCCTAGGCCAGGGAGAGGACAGATAATAAACTTAATATACCTGCTCATCATATAGTAGGTTCTTGAGATAACTAGAAAACATCCCCACTGAGAAGATGTGCTGTGAGCAGGGACTTGAAAGAGATGAGGAGGAAGCCACGTAGATATCTGGGGAACAGTATTTCGGGTGGAGGGACAAACTGCCACAAAGACTGTGAGGTAGGAAAATGCCTGGTGTTTCCAGACTAGGTAAGGGACAGTCTAGTTCAAATGGCAGGAGCAAGGCTGTGAGTTCGAGGACATGAGGTCACAGAGGTGGTTCTAGGGGCCTGGGGAATAGCAGATTGTATCAGTCCTTGGAGCTCTCCATGAGGACAACCACTTTTCTGTTTACTCAGAGGGAAGTAGGGAGCCACGGAGGGCTTTGGAGCAGAGGAGAAACCATGTCTGCTCCCACGAGGTTATACAGTGTCTTTAAAGAGATATTTAGGATCTTGCGAACTGCCCCATACCTTGTGAAACATTGCCACAATCTCTGGAACAAAAGGCAAAGAAATTCTTCCTTTCAAGGAAAGAATAACCACTTCTAATGCTAATAAGCTGCACTCAGGACTGACTTTCTTCCCTTCCCTGTACCTGATAAGTGCCCCATTTTCTCTCCTATCTGTCCTTAAGTAGAGACACTGCTGATAACTAGAACCTCAAGAAAGATAAGCATTTTATGGGCCCGGTGACCTCACTGAATTAGACTTGGGAGCAAAGTTATGTCTTCCTCCATATTTGCAGTAAAGAAATTCTGGTCTGTAGTAAAGAAATTCTGATTTTTTCCTTCTCTGCAAACCTTGCAATGTCAGGATTCAGGCCAGCCGAATGGGTGCTCTTTTCAACACTCAACATGAGTTATTCCCTGCGCCCCCCGCTCCCCCTCCATCTTGGTCTTCTGTGACTGGCCGAGATGCTTTGTTATCATCAACGGGTGGGGGAAATATGTAAAATCACACTGTTTATCTAACAGCAGAATATTGTCATCTGAGCCCAGTAGCTTCAGCAAGTGACTGGCTGCTTTTGACACTGTATACTTTAGTGAAGTGGGATAGACGTGTATCAGAAGCCTTAGCCCCTTGAAGCTAGTCTAGAAATCGAAGGCAGAGAGAGATCATGAATCTAAATATGGTGTGTGCTCACCTTGCCCAGCCCCCCAGTCTTTGATTCTTCAAGGCCACCTCCTTCATATGAATTCCATATGCCAAAGCACGTTATCATATACTGTTTTTTGGCCCTACGTGCTGGCCTGGGATCGAGCACTGACATGATCACTTTCTACCGTGTCCTGTTGTGAAACAATAGCATACGTGGTCCATGAACGTTCCCCCCAGGTTCTTTATTGTTTGATTTCCTCTATCTTAAAGGCCATGTGCCTTTGCTGCACCAATTATAGGATGAAGCCCTGGGTTTTATGGGTTGCAGGCCTTCAGGCTCTGTGGGTGTAGATGTGGCTTGTTTCCTTTAGATGGTTTCTAACTAAGCAATTTGGGAACTGTGGGGAATAGACCTGAGTACCTTTAGAAGTTATTTTTTTTCCCAACTAAAGATGCTTAGCAAAGGTTTTTGTTCACTGATAAGCAGAATCCTCCTGCATGTTATTATGCTGTTTCCCTTCTTAAAAATGGTTTGGTCTGGGGCACCTGGGTGGCTCAGTTGGTTAAGCGTCCGATTTCAGCTCAGGTCATGATCTCACGGTTCGTGAGTTCAAGCCGAGTTCAAGCCCCGCGTCGGGCTCTGTGCCGACAGCTCAGAGCCTGGAGCCTGCTTCGCATTCTGTGTCTCCCTCTCTCTCTTTGCGCATGTTCTGTCTCTCTGTCTCTCTCTCAAAAATAAATAAACATTAAAAAAAAATGGTTTGGTCTGGTCAGACCTGCATCTTCCTCGGAGTTCCTGGGAAAGAGCCTTTGTGGGGTAGCTCTTAGTAGATTGGACATTAGCATCTCTCCCTCATCTAACATCTTGCTCAGTGAAATAACTTATTTCAGGTGTTGTGGTGAGACATTACCCCAGCGGGCATGTTCACGCATCCCCTGAGGGACCTGCCTGAGCTGAGCTGGGACCAAATCAAGAGCCCCCCACTGACTTGGCAGAGAAAAGTAGATGACAGTTGCCTACCTGTGGAAGTGATGGAGGCGTTTACAATGAATGGTGAGGTAGCGTCTCGTAAGTCACGATTTTGAACTTTGCTGTTGAATGCCTGAGGTTTCAGACTTTTCCTAGACATTTTTAGGGGAAAAGTTTTTCTTGACTGATCTTCTCTGAGACCGTTCCAGGTACAGATTAGTTAAGAGGGTGATGAAGGACAGTTGTCCCAGCAGTCCCTGTTGTGAAACGGACACTATTGTGAGCATGTTTTCATTTTTCACTGATGATTGAGAAGGCCCTTCAGGAACCTGCAAGGCCTCTAGGTTGTCAGTAGGCCTTGGCTAATTGCTCATCTTTGTATTGTAGCTGCTCAAAAGATTGAATAATTGTGAATTTCCTTGAAGGGCCTGTCCAGAAGGTGGGAGTTTGGTGTCTAAGCATCGTGAGCTCTGAGAGAACCTCAAAAGAGTTGCTATGTGTTGTCTCCTTGACGCTCCCATCTCTGGGGATCTGCATCACCCGTGGAGTGTTCGCGGCCCCAAGGCAGCCATTACCCTCCTCAGGGTTTGTCTCTAGGTTCTGCTCTGATACTTCTGAGCTTCCCTGTGCCGGTGCGGGGAGCGGGGGGAGGGAGGGAACCCTGGGTGCACCCTGGAGAAGGAATGAAGACCCTACTCCTTTCATGCTTAGAACTTTATTGGTCAGTCACTACGGTTGACCTTTGATTGTTTTTTCAACCCCGGAAGCGATAAGACTTCCATTCTGTTCCGAGTCCTGACTCTTCAGCTTTCGTGGGGTATCCACCCTGCAGCTTTCTTTTCTTAACCCCGCAGTTGAGGGAGAAAAAAATAAAAATAACTTTTTCTTGTTTGTTTGTTTTTGTAACTCAAACTCTGAATCAAATGGCTGGAAGTATTGTATGCTTCCTTAAGTAATTTTAAGGAAGCAGCCAACGACGCCTGTTGGCAGTGGGGGAAATGGCGAGGGTGACATTTCTTTAAAATCCTGAATGTTTTTTTTTTTTTTTTTGCCCACAACATTGAAATGAAAAAGTCAGGTTATGGAGCCGAATAAAATACATGGCAGTGGATTTGATGCCCAGAAAGATTGTATCTCGTGGGAAGTACTTCAACTCATGAATAAACCTCTGCCGGGAGTAAGTGCTCAGCGTTGAACTTTACTGACTGGCCTCTCTGGAAGGGGGGTGGCCATGAATTGACATGGATGTTAAAACTTTTCTTGCTAAGAAAATTTTATCACGTCGTGAGATCCTTGGGGACAATAAGTTGTAGGCCTTGTGCAGTTTGCTTTCTTAGCATCTGGCAAGTGCCTGGCATATAGTAGCCCATTCATTATTAACTCACTAGTCCTCACTCTAAATCTATGTGGTTATTATGTGATTGTCTTTATTTTACAGGTGACATAGCCATTTGGTACTGGAGCCCAAGTTTGAACTGGCTCCAGGGCCCTTATGCTTTTTTTTATAAATTTTTAAAAAGTTTATTTATGTAATATTTTTTGAGAGAGAGAGAGAGAGAGTGAGCAGAGTAGAGGCAGAGAGAGAGGGAAAGAGAGAGAATCCCAAGCAGGCCCCACGCTGTCCGCGCAGAGCCCGGCGCAGGGCTCAAACAAACCATGAGATCATGACCTGAGCTCGAATCAAGAGTTGGACACTTAACCAACTGAGCCACCAGGCGCCCCGGTTCCTTATTCTTAATCATGGCACCGTCTGCTTCAACTGATAGCTGGGCATCTAAGGAGGAAGCTGAAGTCTTGATTTATTAAAATGGATGGGGTCCTCCTTTGCATTCTCGTCTCATAGCAGAGTCTCCAGGTATGCCCCTCTCCTTCCTTCTGCGGCTTTAATTTACTGAAATCTAGACCCTAGTGTACCCCAGTAGGTTGAATAAACTAATTACATATGCTGATCTGTTTTATTTTTATTTCTTGGGATACCACGATTGCCAGGGCTTATAAGTTTTGTCTTCATCAATGAAAATAACCAGCCCCCAGATAAGAAAACCTTTTCAAATCTTTGCAGCTTGCCCTGACATAGGGCGTGATGCTTTGCTAATAGGCTGTTCCCATAATGGGAACCAATTTCACACTAAATCTATTAAATAGAACTCTTCTTGTAGTGAGTAATGTGAAACCTGCATCTTCAGAGAAGTTGAACTACCCTGTGTTCGCTCTCCTCTCAAAGCAGTGTGGTTTACTGCTGTTACCAACTGTCTCTAAATACCACAGATAAGTTTCGGCAGCTATTGTCTTAATATTGTCCACATTCCTTTTTTTTTTTTTTTCTGTTTAAACAGCTTTAACTGAAATCAGTTCTACATATCAAACAAACATTTAGTTAATGTAAACTGAAACCCTTTCATATGACTGGGTGTTCTCAGGTTAGTTATTTGAGCCATTTTCACCATTGGTAAATCTTCACAAGTTGCTTTTGTTTGCCTCGCGAAAGTTCAATATGGATAAATACAGAAATTCTTTGTGGTAACAGGTAAAGGTTGTACTAGTTGGACTGTCTAGGGAACACGATTACCGTAGCAAAAGTCAGACGACCCAACATTAACCTCTAAGCTGTGAAAACTCAACATTTCTTTAGAGAGCAGAGGTCAGAAGAGTTGTGGGGATGAATAGAGTTGTACGTTGACAGTAAAATTTGATTAAAAAAAAATTTTGTTAACGTTTATTTATTTTTGAGACAGAGAGAGACAGAGCATGAACGGGGGAGGGGCCGAGAGAGAGGGAGACACAGAATCCGAAACAGGCTCCAGGCTCGGAGCTGTCAGCACAGAGCCCGACGCAGGGCTGGAACTCACAGACCGCGAGATCATGACCTGAACCGAAGTCGGACGCCCAACCGACTGAGCCACCCAGGTGCCCCTGTAAAATTTGATTTTTCAAGGTGAAGATGAGTTTTAGAAGATTTGGAAAGTGGATAAAAAACAATTTCTTACCCTTCCAAAGCTTTACTCAGCCTCTCCTCTGCATACATTGGGGTTATTTCATTTGCAAGGGACAAAAAAAACCTCAACCTGAATTGGCTTAAGTATAAAAGGCTTCTGGGACTCCTGGGTGGCTCAGTTGGTTAGGTATCCGACTTCAGCTTAGGTCACGATCTCGCGGTTTGTGAGTTCGAGCCCTGCGTTGCGCTCTGTGCTGACAGCTGAGAGCCTGGAATCTGCTTCTGATTCTGTGTCTCCCCTTCTCTCTGCCCCTCCCCTGCTTGCTCTCTCTCTCTCTCTCTCTCTCTCTCTCTCTCTCCCTCTCCCTCTCCATCTGTCTCTTTCTCTCTCAAAAATAATAAATAAGCCTTAAAGAAAATGTAAATAGGTTTAAAAAATAAATAAATAAATAAAAGACTTCAGAAATAGCTTGATCAAGAGCCAGGTGGTATCACCAGCACCTGTTTTTTATCTTTTTATCTTGCAGTTGCTTCCTACTGGGTTGTCTCCATTTTTCCCATTTGGTGGTGACATGGATATAGAATGCTTTTCCTGAATCTTCTCATGGGATCTAGACTTAACTGTGATTGAACATACCGCGATTGTCTCCATACCCAGTTCTGTGACTAGAGAAATATGGGGGGGCTGATTGGCTGATACTTGGGCCACACACTGCATCCCTGGTGTTGGGGCTGGAGATCTACCCAGACCACGTGGACTGAGACTGGGGAAGGGGGTCGGTTACCAAGTAAATAGTGAGGTTTTGCTAGAATAGAAGGAGGAATGCTAAGGAGGCAAATAATAAACATATAGGTTCATAGGAAGGAAAAGCAATTGTTAATGCCTTCACTGTTCTTTCTACCTATTGACATGTGCCCTGACTTGAAAAGTAACAATTTGGCTGTAGGTTTAATGGATGCCCCATAATTAACTTTGCATTGTTCAGTTATAAGGGCTAGGACTCTCACCAGCTCCTCCTGGCCCATGGTAAATTCTGTATTTATTTTAAATCTAAGAAATCTTGAAATTGGCTGTCTCTTAGTATATGTCTGTTTTGCTCAAAATATCAGTCTTTAATAAAGATGTTTAATAAAGACATGTTTTGATTCTATCTTCCCTGTCCCACATTGCGCAGGCTGCTGTATACTTCAGGATCTCAGTATTTGTGTTTTGTCTTGCCTTTTTGTAAAATTTATTTATTTATTTATTTATTTATTTATTTATTTATTTAGAGAGGTAGAGGGTGCTAGTGAACCAGGGGCAGAGAGAGATTGAGAGAGAGAGAGAGAGAGAGAGAGAGAGAATCCCACAGGGGCGGGGAGGGGTGGGAGAGAGAGAAATGGGGCTCACCCAGGGCTCGAGCTCACCCCGATGTGGGACCCAAACTCACGAACCATGAGATCATGACCTGAGCTGAAGTCCGACGCTTAACTGACTGAGCCACCCAGGAGCCCCTTACGACCGCTTTTCCCTTGGCTTTGCAGAAATGCTCTGGAGACTCCCCAAGTTCTACTGGAAACCAGTTAGGCTGAGCTTTTCTCACCCTGTGGCAATTAAGTTACTGGAGGAGAATCGGGTGACAGTGTTGTCCTTGATTGCCCCTTATGAAGGCATTGTAACAACTGCCTTCTCTTTATGGCCCACAGGTTGAGTTCGAGTGGCTGAGACAGTTTTGGTTTCAAGGCAACCGATACAGAAAATGCAGTGATTGGTGGTGTCAGCCCATGGCCCAACTGGAGGAACTGTGGAAGAAGATGGAAGGTGTGGTAAGTACCTGAGGTCCGGGGCCACATTTTCTGGGACGCCGGGCTGTGTGACCCCTCTGCTGCCTCATTTGCATAGGCAAATACATAATTCATTATTCCAAATTATTGGGTTAGGTAACTGTTCGCCAGGAACAGCCAGGATTTTGCCAGGACAAGCTCACTTGAGTTCAGTGGGCGTTTTCTTGAGTATTTCCCACATATAAGGCGCCATGCTGGACGCATGGTAGGAAGTGACGAGGAGGGAACCACGATGGAACGGTAAGATCTAAAATGCCTTTGCATTTTTAGATGCACCGGGCACTGTTCTAAGGGCTTTCCCTGTATTAACTTCTAAAGTTCGTACAGCAGCCCTACGAGGTGTAGAAACCCTTATGAGCCTTAATTTATAGATGTGAAAACTGAGACATTGAGAAATTAGGTGCCTCGCCCAAGGTCACAGAGTAAGCAGCAGAGCAAGGTGGAGACCCTGGCAGTCTGGCTCTGTAGCTTAACTGCTGCATTCAGTTTAACAAGGAGAGAGACATGAATATAGCCAGGTGTTACATTAGCTAAAATGAAAGCCTGTGATAGAGATTAAAAAAAAAAAAAAAAAAAAAATCACAGGCCAGAGGAGGGAGTATTAAATTCAGGCCACTGGACCAGGACTGTTGTGAAACAGCAGATGTTGCCTTTGGGGACTTTGGATGGGGAGGCGTAGGGTCAGATAGGGCATTGGGAGAGGAGCATTAGGCTCCAGGAACTGTACAAACGAGACTGGAAATGGGGCAGTCCAGCGCGGCCAGGGCAAGGGATCGGGGGGTGGAGTCAGAAGCATAGCTGGAAGGCAAAATTGAGGCCTCTTGCCAGTTTTGAATTAAGTCTCAATTTAAAGAATAGCAGTAATGGCAGACCCTTATTTGATACTTATTAAGGACCAGGCACTATTCTGAATGTTTTATGTATAACTTATGTAACTTTTACGGCAACCCCATAAAGTAGGTATGATGGTTCTCCATTTCATAAACCAGGAGACTGAGCCACAAAAGGTTTCCATAACTTCCTCAAGATCACACGGCTCATAAGCGGGGGAACGGGGATTTGAACCCAGGAAGGCTGGCTCTAGGGTCACGCCCTTCACTGCCTCGCTGCTCTGCCTCCAGACCGTTGAACTTGAAATGTAGTGGAAAAGTGGTAAAAGCCTGCTGCACCCTGGAGGTGGTGCCCGCACAGACTCAGACTTGTTCTGGAAACAAGGATCCGATCTGCGCAAGTGGGGAGCTGTGGCCAACCTCTGTTATAAAACCGAGGTTTTATAATGAAAATACCAAGTCACCACCCTGGAGGGGTCTTAGTTTGAAAGTCCAGGTCGGAATCTGGACCCTAGCTTTCCAGACATCTCTTCAGATGTTTAAATCATGCCTTTCGATGGATCTGTGCCTGAGGAAGGAATGTTAATAATCCTCCTTTTATTGTACTAAGGGTATCACAAAAATGGATTCCGCCAAAGACCTGAACCTCAGTATAAAACCGAGCATTGTAAAACTGAGTTGGAAGTAATGAAAAGTCCATGCCTAAATCTCCTTAGTTCTATTCCTAAAATTAGCCTGTGTGGAGCATGCTACATTTTTATGGAATGTATATATAAAGGCAACTTCATTTACAGGGCATATTTTTTTTACGATGTTCTTCTCGGCTTGTCCATTTACATATGAGTTGGAAGAACCTCTTTATTTACCAGACTTTGAGTCTAAGACATCAGGTGGACTTTGGGATTGTAACTTGACGACTCCACGTATTAGAATTGGCAAATTAATGAGAAAAGAACTCACTGATTTTGTAAAATAAATAAATACGTCACTAAATAAAAATTTATTTTTGCACCACTTTTGTTCAAGGGTTTTTTGGTTTTTGTTTTTTTTGTCTCTTAAAGAGAAGTCTTCGGTATTGTGAGCTTACGGATCATATTCATTATGAATTCATTTAAAAGATTTAGTTGTCATTTCTTTTTTAATCGGACCACGGCACATCAGTTAGAAGGAATATCTTCTGTTTACTTTATAACTCTTGTGTAAAAAATACCCAGAAGAAGAGCAGTCTTGGGAATTCTCCAGAGCGAGCTTCCTTGCAGTTGGTGTGGCATTACTGAGTGTTCCGAGTGAAATCAATGGTCCCAGTGTCTCTCCTCAGCAAGCCTCAGGGTGATCATTATCAGCAGAGTGGAGGTTTGGGCCAACATAAAAGGGATGATCCTTCTAAATTAAATTTAAGCATGGCTCCAAGCCTCTTTAAATGACTTTTAACAAATTCATAATAATTTATTTTTGCTATTGGAAGAGACAGAAGACCATAGTCATTGGGCAAGCCTATGGTTCTGTGGCTCTGTTAGCTCAGTGCCATCTGGTATTTGTGAACTGGCCCGGCCAGTTCAATTCCTGCTTTGTACCAGCCCACCTCATATGTTTGCACTTGCAAGCAGTAGGGGGCAATGTTGAGCTACCTGTTTGAGGCCTCAAGATGCTGGCCTTTCAGGAAAATGCATACAAATGTACCATTAACTGTCAAGAATTATCCCTGTTGCTTCAAGTTAGCTGTAATCTCCAAGATTCCATAACACAGGAAATCAGTTGTGGGTTAACAAATTCAACAGCAATTTAACATAAAAAGTGCAGTGTTTGGTGCACATTTGGATTCTATAGAATTAGACTAATCTGAACAGCGTTTCTGAATGTACTCCCTTTGCTTCCAGGGAATGTATTACTCAAAATCGTTATCCTTCTCGACAAATGATTCTTCTTTATCTCTGTGCTTTTTTAAAATGGTAAAAGCATGTGTGTGTGTTGTGGAAAGGCTTCTCTAATTAGTGCATTTTGTCTGTTCTGCCCCGTAGCGTGGGTCTCTTTCGGTGAAAACAAAACAAAACAAAACAAAAACCCCAGGCGATCCGCACATTACTTTTCACCTTTTGCTTATGAGTAAAGCAGCCTTGGACGGCCCTCGTACCAGGACTTGTGTTGTGATTTCTCTCTGTCTCTGTGTTGCCTTTTTTCTTTTTTCTCCCCCCACTTTGTGGTTGGGACGTGTAGTCTCAGGTTGGATGCAGAAGAACGGAAAATGCGCTTTGAAATCGCCTTTCTTCCATTAATGGTAATTGCTTCACATGTCATAACCAGTCGCATATTTCAAAAAGTTTAGTCCACTGCCTCTGAAACTCCTCCAGCCTTTGCTTCCCATTCCCTGTCCCAGCAAGCACTGTTTTTATCACACTGTTTATTCTTGCCATTTCTCTCCCCGAGGATAGTTTTACCCTGTGCTTACTCTTGTGATGTAAATGTTAAACCTTATATTTGAATGGCATTCTGATAAAATATCATATTTTCCCTGAGTATTACCTCATGAATTTATGAGCCATTGAGCCCGAAGCAACACAACCCTTTCTTACAACCCAAGAAGTTAGCCTTGCCTTTTCTCTCTTCTTTGCTCCCTCTTCAGGAAGGCACTATGATGCCAGAACACTGTTCAGATGTGTGCGTTTTATTTTATTTTATTTTCTCCGGCCAGCCCACCACCTCACAACCAAGATTAGCGTCTTAGGAGGAGACTCTCCAGGATAAGAGAGAGTTACCATTTGAAAGAAACCGTACAAGCTTTGCTTTCTGGGTAAAGAGAAATATGAAAAGCCGAAGTCTCCCGTGAGGTGAGGAAGTCTTGCTGTAGCCAGAGATCCAACGGATAGGCCATGTGTCTCTCAGGGTCTGGTATCGCGCTTTGCAAAACTGACATTTATTTTACCCATAAAAACGTTTTAACACCATCAAATTCACAATGAGACGGAAAAGAATGCTAGGTGCGATGGCCTCTTAAATTGACGACATTTATTCATTTCCTTTTGACCTTAAAAAACAAAAGGTCAATTTAGTGTAATCCGATGGAAATATTCTAGGATGATTTCCGGAGTCGACATTTTCGGAAGTACTGATGATTGATATACTGGAGAGAAATTTCTTCATGCTTTTCCAGGTCCTGATCATCTTGAATGTTTTGAATTGCATTTCGTGTCTTGACAGTTCTTGCTGGGGACCACAGTGCATTTATATGGCAGTTGGCCTTAATAACCTTTATTGACTTTAGTGGGTAGGAGCCAAGATGGGATCATTTTAATATATCCGTTTTGAAACGGTGTAAAACACAACATGTAATTATGTTAGGTAAGCTATAGGTAACTTAAATTCTACCCATTTGCGTTAAAATTTTGGCACAGGAGAGCAGAGAGATGTGGAAAGTGAGTAGGTGTTTTATTTAATTCTGTTACCAGTTTCTTGTTGTTGAAGTCTTAAGAGAGGAAATGGACTTACGGACGTAAAGGTTGTCCTTTACAAGTCAGTTATAATAGTTTAATTTCAAGATGAGTCACATGTTTTTCCTTGTCATTTTGGCCTGTGTAAACCATCTGGGAGAGTTCATGCCAGGTGGCTGTCCACTGCTGTCTGGTGGAGCCTTTCTTGGTGTAGGTGACACAGTCATAGGCAGTGATTGAGCTGAAGAGCAGTTTTTTTGTTGTTGTTGTTTTTGGAGAGATTAATGACCCTATCATCACAGTGTGTTAGATTAAATTCTTTGTAGCTGAGTAGAGGAACGAGGCTGCTTTCTCACATGCTGAAATTATACTGAGTGTACCGGTATTTGCTATTCTATTACAGTTCCATTAGCTAAGTTCATTTTAAACTATCTTCTAGGATTAAAGATTTTGGGGGGTATGAGGAAGAAAGCGATATAAATGTTAACTTTTTGTCCTTGTTGATAGTGAAGTCACCAACTCCTATTTATATACGTGTGTGTGTGTGTGTGTGTGTGTGTGTGTGTGTGTATCCCTTATGCCGTTGATGTATATACTAAATTACATTTGCAAACATCACCCTGTCTTCCATTTTTCAGCATTAGCATTTCTGATCTAGGAGCAGAGTATATTATAGTAATTTAGGAATTGGTAGGAGACGTCTGGTGGTTTTAAATGAAAATTTAAG